AAAAAAAAAAAAAAAAAAAAAAAAAAAAAAAAAAAAAAAAAAAAAAAAAAAAAAAAAAAAAAAAAAAAAAAAAAATGCAATTTAAAATTCACTTTCGAAAAGAAAATAAAATAAAAATAAAATAAATAAGGGATTTCAAAATAAATCCTTTTAACTTCTATCTTTAAAAAAGAAAAAATTTAAAAAGTTACTTACAGAAAATAAATGATGATGATGATGATGATGATGATCCCATCTTTACCACACTTCCCATCTCTACAAAATAAGTTCACATTAGAAAAAAAAATATATATTAAACCCTACCCTTAAGAAAAATGTTGTAGTACAAAAGAAATAATGAAAATAAAATATCTACAAAATTTTTTAACAGAATATTGGGAAAAAAATGCAAATAATAAAAATAATAATGCCAAGGAAAAGAAAAAGCAAAAAAAAATTGTTTTTAACACTCGAAAAACTTAATGAGATTTTTATATTATCGATGGATCATGTCTTTGATGTGTGGGACTATTATTTTCATTATTATCAATTGAATCCGAAAATGAATGTAAATTCGATGTAGAATTCTGCGGATTTAAGTTCGAGGGGGAATGAATGGATTGTATTATTATGGGATGATTTGATTGTTGATGAGGAGTAACATCAATAGGGGTATTTGTTTGCGACGTTGGACCAGCAGCGTACCAAACACCAGTATTAAGAGGAGGTAAAGAGACAGAAGAATGTAAACTTATAAAAGTTCCATTATTATTATGATTAATATTTCTCGAATCAGAATTTTGTAAATTTTGCTGTTGAGCTAATTGGTAATTATTATTCCCGTCCATATATAAAATCATATCTCTAACAGAACCATCGAATTCGGGGATTGGAATATGTGGTAAAGCGTATATTGGAGGAGCGGTGGGCGAATAAGCCGGAGGAGCTGTTAAAATTGGAGTGGAAAATGTAACATTATCGATTTGAATGTCTGAATCGGTATCTCCCACTTTTTCGGCAGGCGGAGCAGATGGTTGCACGGGAGGCGTTAATTGCCGTATGGAACTAAGTTGTACGGGTGGGTGATGGTATTGCACAGAATCCGAAGTTTCATGATTCATTTCATTGTTACCGACAATCCGAAAACTGACACCACCAACTTCGTTATCCACAACATTTGTCGAATTAGAATTATTCCCCATACTTGATTTTTCGGAAGCAAATGCATCATTCATACTCGCTTCTCCGTTACCTACACCACCTCCATTATCCCTCTTTCCACTTCCATTCCCACCTTCGTTATTATTATTATTATTATGATTATTATTATTATTATTATTATTATAACTATAATTATTGTTATTGTTATTATTGTTATTATCAATTCTGCTGTTGTCATACTCATTGTCATTGTCATTAACGTTATTCCCATTCATATTACTTATATCAAGGTCTTCCCCTCCTTTTGAAAGTGTAAAAGAAGAAGATTTAACAATTTTAACTAATTTTTGCTGCCTTCTGACTTTCCAATATAATACAGCAATAGCAATAGCAACTAATAATAATGAAGCACCAAGAGAACCCAATACGATGATAACTTTCCTAATGATCATGGCTTCTTCTTTCACTTGTTTGGCAGTGTCTTCATTTTCCTCAGCTTGATCAGGATGTATTAACTGTTCGGGCTGTGTTTCATTACCACTATTCTTGTTGTTTTGTTCCGTCTCATCGTCTTTCCCCTTATTGTTATCATCCTTATGACTAGTGGGATATGGTGGTTGTTTGGATTCGACATCATCATTTTCTTCCTGATTAGAGGTGCTTGATTTTGATTGATGTTCGACTGGGTCTATACGTTTCACTAAATGTGCCGATGAATGAGAAATATCTTCAGTTTGATTAGTACTTGGTAATAAAGGTAAAGAATTGACTCCTATCATTCCTCTCGTTCCCCATTCTCCTCCTCCTACGGTAAATATTCCAGAAATGAATACTACGAGAATAACGAAGCAATAAAGCTTCATTATTATCACATATACTTTAAGCCAAGAAAAAATTAATGTCTAACAGAACTTTATCCGTTAAAAAATAGAATTTTATTACTTGGTTAATAAATTTTACCGTATTTTTTTTTTTTTTTCACTTTTTGCTTGGAAATTAAAAGGAAAATTATCAGGTGTCAATAAGTTAAGGATTATAGTTCGTTAAACGGTTATAACTAAATATTTTAAAGGAATTATCTCTGAAAAAAAAAAAAAAAAAAAAAAAAAAAAGGAAAAAATTTTGGTACGTGAGAGATAATTGATAAAGGTTGGGGTTTTTTTTATTTTTATCTTACTTTTGTTATTTTATTTTATTTTATTATTTTTTTGCGACTTTTAGAACTGACGGAAGAAAAAAAAAAAAAAAAAAAAAAATTATTATTAACCAACTTTTTGCGTTGGTTTCGCAAAAATATTAGTTGTTGTAACATCTAATTTAAAAAAGTAAAACTGACTTTTTCGTTTTCACAACAAATCAAATTTGACATTAACCTATGTAACCTATGCAACTTATTAATATAAAACTTGTTTAATGTTATTTATTTCCCAATAAGGTAATGTTGATAAAAAATTTCCTTCTCGAAAAATAAAATAAATAAATTTTGTATTTTCGTTGGGAAAAAAAAATTTTAGCTTTTTTTTTTATTGATGAATTTGGCAACATAATGGCTTAATTGCCAATTCATTCACGATAATTTATCACATCATATTTTAAATATCACATTTCTTGTCATGATTTTTATCTCCTAATCTTCTTTGCCTTCTTACCAAGTTTATTAGATTGAATAATATCTCTATCTTCTTTGTCTCTAAAATCATCATCATTTTTAATCCTCTTGCTACCCTTCTTTTGTTGTTGTTGTTGTTCTCTCATTTCCAATGTCACCATTCTTTGAGCTTCGCTAACCCTTTCTTGTAATAACATCACATCATCTTTACTATCAATTGGAAATACATCCATTTTTTTACCAATAACATGTTCGATTCTTTGATATAATTCGACATCATATTGCGTTACTAATGTGATGGATTTACCGGATCTACCTGCTCTTGCCGTTCTTCCAACTCTATGTATATAATCTTTACTATTTGCTGGTATATCAAAATTAATCACTACATCCACCAGAGGTATATCAAGCCCTCTAACGAAAAAAAATGAGTGGATGTAAGTTTCAGCAAAAATAAAAAGTAACTCTCAAGATAAATATTACGCACCTTGACGCAACATCTGTGGCTACCAAAATATTTCGACTTCCTGCTTTAAATTTATTCAAAGAACCCAATCTTTTTGCCTGTGATAATTGTCCATGTAATGGAATCGCGGGAAATCCCATATTACGTAACAACAATGCCAGTCTTTGTGTATCATTACATGTTCTGGTAAATATGATCAATGAATTACCAGCCAATTCGTTACATAAATAAACAAGATAACAATCTTTATGTTTGAATGGAAAGAATAAATAATATTGGAGTAACGTGGACACCGTAGAGTATCTTAGTAAGAAAAAGTTCAAAGGAATGTTAAAGCCTATAATGGGAAGTATCATTCGTAATGAAAATTCGTCGAACCTACTTTGAGGAAACTTCGATCTTTACTGGATTCATTAATGAAGCTCTTTGTAATTTTGCTACTTTCGTAGTCATGGTAGCCGAAAAAAGAAATGTATGTCTCTCTTTAGGAATAACCTTTAATAACTTGTCAATTATTGGACCAAAATCCATATCCAACAATTTATCAGCTTCATCCATAACCTAAATATTGATAATTCCATAAGATTCTTTTTTTTAAGCAGTAACAATAAACGAATTTTTTTTTCAATTTGTTTACCAAATATTTTAAATTTTTTAAACTAAATCCTTTTGTATTTTCTAAGTGATCCTGAAGTCTTCCAGGTGTAGCTATAATGATATGTGGTTTTTTAGACAAAGCAATTGCTTGCGACATCATATCCATGCCACCGATTATAACTGCACATCGAACCCCTATTACAGATCCCAAAGATTCAAACATTTCTGATATTTGAAACGCCAGTTCCCTGATAATCAAGTAATTAACGTCACATCTCAATTAACCACCTTCTTCTAAAGTAAAAAGTTTATTAATTACCTGGTTGGTGCTAATATACAAGCAAATAATCCTTGTGGTGCTTCCCATAATGCTTGCAAGATAGGTAAAGCGAATGCTGCTGTTTTACCTGATCCAGTTTGTGCCAGTCCAATTACATCCCTTCCTTGTAATGCCCAAGGGATAGCTTCTGCTTGTATTTCCGTAGGTGTTTTATACTTGCATTGTTCACACGCTTTACATAAAGGTTCAATAATGCCCTATCCTTTTTATTAGAACATACAGACAATTCAACCTATAGCAAACTAGTGAAATAACTTACCAGTGATTCAAAGGTTTTCTCTTTTGGGGTCGACATGTTATTCTTTGTAAGGACTGATTTTTTTTGGGAGCAAAAAAAAAAAAAAAAAAAATTATCTTCACGTGATTAATGAATCGCGCGATTAACTTACGGTAATTATTTTTTTTTTTTTTTTTTTTTTTTTTGCACAAAACTTTTTTTTTTTTTTTTCCAATATAAAAAAAAAAACCATATTTTTAACCCGTTATAAACTTTCATTTTTCTTTCACACTCTATAAACAAAACGTTTAGTTCTAAAATATGCCGCCTAAAAAGAAAAATACAGCTTCAAAATCTAATCAAATTCAACCCGAGAGTAATGTTGAAGACGCTACGTCGGCTACTGCTCCTTCCCAAGAAGAACCACCACCAAAGAAAAAGGCTACAAGGAAACCTAGGACCACTAAAAAGAAAGATCTCGTTTCACAAGAGGGTTCTACTAGTATTATAGAACCTAATAGTTCTACTACTATATCGGCCGATACTCAGCTACATGAAGCAACAATTCCCGTAAAAAAAAAACCTGGAAGAAAATCTAAAGCTAAACAACAAGAAGTTGTTACTGTAAAGGAGGAACCTTTAGAACAACAGCAACAACAATTTACTACGACTACCGCTCCTTCCACTGTTCCTCAGCAACATCTATTATTTATTAACGCAACTCCTGAAGAACCGGTCAAGAAAAAACCTGGAAGGAAGCCTAAAGTAAAGAAACAGGAAGCGGACCAACAAAACCAACAACTACCACCAGAAAAGAATATTGTAAATATTCAACCGACACCGGCTACAAATCCATCGTCGTCATCATCATCGTCGTCACCAGCAGCTATAAGAAACCTCATAAATTTAGATGAGAATAGCTTTCCTCCTCACGGTTTTAAAAGTGGGATACAATCCGAATCACAGAATAGTAATAATTATAATACTTCTCCCCCTGTCGCATCGTCTCCTGATGTTCAACCAGCAATCGCTCCAATTCCCACTCCTCTTCCTGCTGCTACACACAGTAAGCGAGGGCGACCTAAAAAAGTCAAATCTCTTGAAGCTGATCCACAGGCTGTTAGTGCTGAGACAAAAGTGGCTCCGACTAGAAAGAGAAAATCAAAGAAACAAGAAGCTTCAGCTGAATTAAATCAATTATCAGATATTGTTGCAAATTCGTCATCTCAAGAACAAATAAGTTCACAACATCGACATGAAGAGGAAGTTGATCAATTGGCTAAGGCAGCCAACCCTCCTAAAAAGAGGAGGACTAAAAAGCAAGATGCTGCCGTTGTTTCTACTCCGCAAATGGAATCAGCTTCTGGACAGGTTCCGGTACAAGATGAGCAACAACCACCTGCTAAGGCTACTAAGAGGGGTAGACCGAAGAAAACAAAACCAGACTCGACTGGGGTTGAGAAACTATCTAATAACGAAGAAGCTGTTATAAAAATGGAGGATTTGGTACCTAGTCCTGTGATAGAATCTCATGTAACTGAATCACAAATAAAAGTTGAGCCTTCGGAAAAAACAAGTACAGGTCCAAAAAATTCATCTGTTGTATTAAATGAATATGAAAATTCTGAGCAACAAGAACGGAAAAACCTTTCTGATTCTATAAGTCCACACTCAATTGATAGGGGTGATGTTAAAATTTTTGATGCTTCAGAGAATAATAATGATATTCATCAAGTTCAAGAATTACAAGTACAAGAACAGGATGTTACAATGGAGGATACACAAAATAAGGATTTGACCGTTAATAATGAACAAAGTATTAAGAGAAAACGTTCTATAGATAATAATGATATTGAAGATGAGATAAATGTACAAAATAAATCATCTCAAATTGAGGAAGTTAGAGCTAGAATGGAAAAATTTAAAAAACTTCGAAGTCGAATGGTGCGTCAATATATTTTTTTTAGTTGATAAATAATCCGTTCGGCGGGCTTAATTGAATTTTATTTATAGGATGAAGGAGAATCTGCTAATCGCAAAGAGGTTTTTGAAGAGCATCAACGTAAGAAAACTAATCCTAAAGAGATTATCAAACAAGAAAGAAAACGGGAAGAAGCTGAAAAATTGTTGGCTAAACAAGTAATGTTAGATCAATTTTGACATGTGTATCAGAATATAATATACTAATTAATACTTTTTGTATATATATATAGCAAGCTGAAGAGAGAGGAGAGGATTATGAAAGGTCAAAATTCTGGGAATATTCTGCCGAGTCGGTTGAAAAATGGGAAAAGAAACAAGAAAAGAAAGCAAAAAAATCGGATGTTGCATTTACTGGTAAGCAAAATTAATTTGTATATATATTTTTTGTTTTTTTTTTTTTTAAAAAAAAATTATATATATCGCTCTCTATTAGATTATAATCAAGTAGCACATAAGAAATATAAGAGACAAATTAATGAATTAAAGCCAGATCTAGTAACATATAAGGAACAAAAAGCAGCGGCAGTGGCATCATCAAGTTTAGTCACAACAGAAGATGGTCAAATCGTCTCAGTAGATACGGAATCGAATTTTTATCGAGATGCAAATTCTTTACAGTATGCTAGCGTAGATAATCAACCAACTCGTGAAGCTATTGATAGAGTTGTTGCGGATGTTAACAAGACAATTGCTAAGCGTGAGAAATCATCTAGGCAAAAACCTGTTAATGAAGATGACGACATTACTTATATCAATGAGCGCAATAGAAGATTTAATGAAAAAATTGGTAGATTTTATGATAAATATACTAAAGAAATTAAAGAAAATTTTGAACGTGGTACCGCGTAAGTATTTTTTAAGATTTGGTGGAATGAGTTTTATTTGGTGAGATGTGTTTTTATTAATCATCATTTTCTTTCCCAAATATTAGGTTGTAAATCATGATTCTATCATATTAAGAACATCAGAATGGCGTACTCATAATTTCTTTTATGGTTTTACTTGTCTTTGTTTCATTTACTTTATGTTTATCGAAATACTTAATCGTAAGTGAAATAATATTGATCGTTTCAAATTGTAAATATGATTAGTAACATTCAGCAAGTTTTCTTTCTATTTCGACAATTATTTTATTCCTTTATGTTTGTTTTTTTTTTTAAAAAAAATTTTTTTTTAACAAATAAAGTTTTTAGAAACATTAATTAGTATTATAAGTAATGTTTATTCCTGGAATATCACGTAAGATTATACATAGTATTGTAAAGGGTTTCATTAGTATCAAATTGTACTATAAACCTATAAACTTCTATCTATGAAAAGAAATTGTAAATTTTATATATAGGTGCTAGCGTTATATAATCGTATTTAAAACAACAATGACAAAGTCTTTAATTTTTATTAATCGTAACCTACGTTTTCATCCTTCTATATTGTTTAATATTCTTATTATAAAAATAATCAAGAAGGTAGATTTTCTGAATCAAAATCATCATAAGTAAAATTTACTGGTTTCTTTACAAACTATCTGAAAAATGTTTCAAAATGTTTATCTATTATAATTTTTATTATAACATTTAAAACAAATTTATAAAAATTCAAAAATTTTGATAAGGAAGTGAAAATTCCAACTTTTCAAATAAAATCAGAGCAAATTATCAGTTTAAAAAAAGAAAAAATAAACTAATTAAAAGGATTTTAATAATTAGTAAGTTTCTTATTTTTATTAATTTTTATATTAATCTAAAATAAAAAATTTGTATAAAAATTGCATTTCTTATAAATACAATTTAATATAATACATATGATCTATTAATCTAATATGATTCTAAAATATATATAGTTAAATCTCTTTAAATGCATCCTTTAGAATCAACTACTTTACTATTTCACAAAAAATTTTACTTTTATATGATTTCTATTTTATTAAAAAATTTTATATATATAGATTAATTGCTAAAAAAATTAAAGATACTTAAATTAATTCTTCTTTAGAATCATTATATTTATTATTTTTGTTATATATCTCTTTCTAAACTAGATTTATTATATCAGATTCATTTAGAATAGCTTCAATTAGAATTTCTTTTTTGCAAATTATAAAAAAAATCCTTTAATTTATTTGCTAACGAAGCAATACAAGAATCAACCATATCAAGTTCTTCAATTATTGATTTACATCTACTACTTCTTGATCTATATTTTCTTGTTGAATTTGTGACATGTTAGCTATGTATTTATTGGTTAAAGTAGATAAGATTTCAGTTTTTTTTAACATTTATGAATTGTCTCTTTAGTTACATATCTTTATATAGCTTCTTTGATAGTGATCTTCTCTTTATTGATGTCTTTGTCATCTTCAAAAAGTTCAACATATGATGATAATAATATCTCTTATAATAAGGCTTAAAACTTACAATAATTTCAGTATCAAGCGATTAAAGATAACTTATTGTATTAGAAGATAGGAAGGCTATTTCAATATGAGTTAGTTAAAACTGAATAATATTAGGTTAGAATCCTTTTGATATATTATCATAACCTCTTAAATCCAATTTCCTTTTATAAAAGAGAGAAAAAGAAAACAGATTGTCCTATTAAAAAAAGGTAATTTTTTTTATTAGTTTTCTTTTAAATTATCTTAACATTTTTATTTTATTTATCTTAAAGAAACTGATTTCAAAATTTGTGGATTGTGATTTTAGTAGTAAATAACTTTTTTAATATAAAAAATTAACAAAAAGGTTAATTAAAAAATTTACTTTATATTTTACTTTATAATTTTTGTGATTTTGTAATTTTCGTAATAAATATGCTGATGCAAATATCTTTTCATCTATATTATTTTTGTCTTGATTAACCTCTAAAAGTGGTAAATAATATAGATCAAAATGTGTCAGAGTATAAATAACTAAGAGCAAGATCTTTTTATCTTGCATTCTAAAATTCCTATTCATTTTTAGAAGTATCTCTTCAAATATGATTGAATTCATTAATGCTTTTGAGTTTTTATAGTAATAGACTAAAATATGTTTTAAGTTAACTTTTAAAAGAAATTTTAGTTTTTTTAGTTCCTATGTATTAACATTGAAAAGAAC